AGTTGCTTACGCGATTTGGTACGTCCGATTATCATAATTACAATGAGGCTCTTACGTGCATACGGCAAACAAGCAGCCTACGCGAATACATTAGGGAGTTCGAACGATTGGCTTGCCGCGTGCGCAACTGGCCGGAAGAGGCACTAGTTGGCGCGTTTATCGGCGGATTGAAATTCGACTTGGCTGCTGAGGTACGGCTCGAGAGGCCCAACACCATGCATGACGCGATGGAAGTGGCCCGACGCTGGGAGGATCACCTGGTTGCAACACGAAGGGGACGGGCGGACGCCCGGATTCCCGACGCACGACGCACGGGCCTAAGACAAGTACCCACGGGCGCTCGGCCTGCGGTCAATACACGGCCAGCGGGGGCATTAGTCCGACACCTATCACCGGAGGAGGTCAAACGGCGACGTGAGAAGGGTCTCTGTTTTAAGTGCGAAGAGAAGTTTACCCCGGGGCATCAGTGCAAGCAAGCCTTTGTCATAGAAGTGGCCAACCCGGACGACAATGAGGTTGAGGTCGAGGAGGAACCACCTCAAGACGACGAGACTGAAGACTTCAGAGATGAGCCTGAAATCTCGATGCACGCTATGGCCGGGATACGAGGTCCTCGGACTATGCGCTTACCAGCTTGGGTCAAAGATCGAAAGGTGATGGTGCTAGTAGACAACAGGTCATCCCACAATTTCATCAACACCGAGTTGTCTCAAAAACTGAACTTGCCAACTATGAATATTGAACCTTTCGAGGTACGGGTAGCCAACGGGGAGAGGCTGCAATGCAATAAGTCCTTCCAAAAGGTGCCAATCAGGTTTAGCGGAGTTACGGTGAAGGCTGATCTATATGCCTTACCCCTGGTTGGACCAGATGTAGTGCTGGGCGTCCAATGGCTCGAAGGACTGGGCAAGGTAACGACCGACTATCGGACGGGAATTATAGAGTTCAACTCCGAGGGTCGTCAGGTCACCCTCAGCACCAGCACTGAAAAAGAAGCTAAGGAAGTAGGGTTGAAGAGCATCGAGAAAGTTTGGCGTGGTGGAGGCCAAATCTTTGCCGTAGTAGTCGAAGATGTGGGAGCGCACTCGAGCAAGGACACACAACAACAGGGAGATGTGCGTGAACTTCTCGAAGAGTTTGAAGGAGTACTGGGCGAGCCCAAAGGACTACCACCACACCGAGAGTTCCACCATCGCATACCATTGGTCAATGAACAGCATGCCATACATGTCCACCCTTATAGGTACGCTCACTTTCAGAAAACCGAGATCGAACGGCAAGTGGCTGAGATGCTTGAATCAGGACTCATACAGCATAGCAAGAGTCCGTTCTCTTCTCCAGTTCTGTTGGCTAAAAAGAAAGACGGCACGTGGAGATTCTGTACTGACTATCGAGCTCTAAACGCTGCAACCATCAAGGACAGATTTCCAATCCCCAGTGTCGACGATATGCTTGATGAGTTAGCTGGATCACGCTATTTCTCTAAGCTCGATCTAAGAGCTGGCTACCATCAGATTCGACTACACAGAGCTGACATCCCAAAGACAGCCTTTCGTACACACCAGGGCACTATGGGTATCTGGTTATGCCATTCGGCTTGTGCAACGCCCCATCCACTTTCCAGTTCGCCA